AGGGATTCACTTTTTTGGGCCAAGCTGTAACTTTAGTGTGTTTTCTTTCTTTTCTCTTTCTTTTTTCCTTTTCTTGAGATTCTTTGTTGCTCTTGGAAGATAAGCTTGTTTGTCTTCCTTTTGTAAATCTTCTTTGATGAATTAATGAAAGTGTTATTGATCAAAAAAAAAAAAGTGCACAATGTTAAAAAGGGCCAGTTGTACCCAATTGATGAATACTTGGATCTTATACTAGCACTAGATCAGAACATAAGGGAAGATATTACAAATAAACCAAAAATGAAACAAGAAATGGAATTTAAATAACCAAGTACAAATCCAAACTACATAAGCATGTCTATTTTTATAATATTAAACAACGTAGTCCTGTTCGTTTGCTCTGAAGTCCGACATCTGAAAGTGAAATAATTACACTAAGAGGTATATTGGTATTGGTGAACTTTTCTTTCCTCTGAACTCTGAATGTAGAGAATGTTGTTCTGAATTCTGAACTCTGAATTCTGAAAATTATCAAATATCCATTTTGGCCCCATATATAAGAGTTTTTGTTTGTCTTTCTGGGGGTATCATTGAAAAACAAAAAGTTGTATTATTGCACTTTAAGAATAAGGGATAAGAGGAAACGAACAACCATTTTTCTCTTAAAGTTAAAAGATTCTTCTTAAGAGATAAGAGTTAAGAGGAAACGAACAGGCCTTTAAACTGTGATTTCATGACCATGTAATTACAACTTAACTGCAAGCTAATCGACTGATCTTGTAATTACACTCTTGTTATCTTGTTTAACTTAGAGGTGCCTTTTATTATTATGCCCTTCCTGAAGCAAGTAAAAATAGGTGTAATACTACCAAGAACCATCTACCTCCTCCAACAGGTTCCCTTTCCAACTAGCACAGAAGGTACCAGCAAACCAATTAACTAAGCCTAGTAAGTGAAAAAATTCAAAACTCATTCATTTAACTACCCTTTTTTAATATGGTGATTGTGCAAACTAGAAATATAAGTTTACCTCACATGGCGACCATCCCCATAAGCATCCTTGACAATGACCAAATCTGCATTTAGCTGCTCCTTGATCTATTGATGCATGAAGTAATCACGATTAACATGTGAAAGTAATGCAAAAGTTCATAAAGGTGGAAGAGAGAAGAATGGACATCAAGAAAAGAAGATGTAACTGTTCTATGCACAAGTCCAGATGGACAGAAAATAAACTCAAAGAAAGCAATACCCAGGAGCATGGAAAGCACAAAAATAGAAAATTTATCAATTTTAGCTACTATCACAAACTGCAGCACCATCCTTTGGACAGCTGGGAGTATTAAACTAACAGAGTAGTTCATACTAAAGGAGAAATGAAACCTAAATGTACTCCTTAAAAATGATTTATAGAAGTAAGAAGGCATAGAGTTCACTGAACCTGACTTTTTGCTCAAACTTTGTATTCCTTTTGGTAGTCATAACCATTTTTTTGGTATACAATTCTTCTTTTTTTTTTTTTTTTGAAGAATAAGAAGAAAGGTCAAGTAAATCTTATTGATGCAACAGCAAGGCCAATATAATACAACAGACTCCTTGGGACTAGGGGCCATAGCAGCAACCACCCAACCCAAAGAAGAACAAGGAATAAGATTACATATCCCACAGGATTTTGGAGTTCAGGAACAGAAATACATTCTGGTGAGAGAATTTCTTCAAGATTGAGATCCAGCATCCCAACTTGCCCACCCAGATCTTAATCAGATCATCAACCCCCCCCCCCACTTGCTGTTGAAGATTCTCCCGCTCCTCTGAACCCAAATAATTCCTATTACTTATTCTTTTGGTACTAGATAAAGAAGAAATAATTTATTAACAATAAATGAGAGAGAACATCCACAAGGTGATGAGGAATCACCCAACAACAGAAAGAAAAACAACAAAGATAACACACCATAATCATCTCACACAATCCAACTCTAAAGATAGCCAAAAACTACTCTAAAGATCTTTTGAAGTTCCTTCAAATTCTGGTAGCATCAAAAACCACTCCCTAAATCTCTTCCCACTTAGAAAAAATTTTTTCGAGAAAAAGTAAGGTAATTGAATTAATGAGTATAACTGTAACACATTACAACCTTTGGTCCACAAAACTCCATGTACAGCCAGAAACTATACAAAAAGTCAACAAAAAACCGGTCTCTCCCAAATACATACAAGAGACCCCCAACTAAATCAAGTAAACAAAATATCCAAATCAAAGTATTGATGGTGGGGAATATACTTAAACGAGTCCTTGGCTGACAGCCAGGAATGTAAAGTAGCCAATGCCCGAACCACCAACTCATCTGAGGAGCACCTTTGACCTTCAAAAATCCTACTATTTCTTTCTTTCCACAGGACCCAACACACTACATGAGGGATCATACACCATAACACCTTACCCCTGTTACTTAAGCCTGTCAACTTCCAAGAGAAAAGCAGTTCAGCTAAAGACTTGGGGCAGCACCACCTCACATTTAGCAGGGAACAGAAATGACAGAGCAGCAAATGGGCAACCTCACAATGAATAAATAGGTGATCCACAGGTTCAACTTCTCCATTGCACATCACACAACTTGTGGAGGGCAGCACCAGACCCCTCCTGATTAATTGCTCCTTGGAGAGACATTTACCATGCACTGCAGTCCAGACCAAGAAGGAGACTTTAGTAGGAATGTAAGGAAGCCAAATCCCTTTCCAAGGAAAAGCCTGAGCCGAACCAGCACTCAGATTTGAATAAAATGACTTCACTGAGAAAATTCCATCCTTAGTCCATTTCCAAATTCTGGAATCTTGCTGATTTGGGTTCAGTTGATAGTCCTGAATCGCTTGTAGCAGACTCTAACAGATAAGAGAATTCCCAATCATTGAGATGCCTCCTAAATTTTGGACACTAGTATCCTGTATTTCCCCGCTGCTCAAACTGATCTGCCACCACCACATCCCTGTCTTCTGCTATAAGGAATAGCGATGGGACAGTCTCCATTAGGGAGGCACCATTGCACCAGGTGTCTCTCCAGAAACCAATCCTCTTGCCATCCCCTAAATTTAGCCTAATCCCTTGGATAAAAAGAGGATAAACCTTCTCAATTCCTTTCCAAACTGAGCAGCCAGCAGGTCCAGGGTCCCATCCATAGTTTCTAGTTCCAAACTTTTCTGCAATTATCCACCTCCAGAGAGCTTGGGGGCTAGAATTAAAGAGCCACCACCATCTACCTAGGAGAGCAGTATTTACCTGCCTAAAATTTCTCACTCCTAAACCCCCTGCCGAGACAGGTTTGCATTTGAAATCCCACTTAACCTGATGGATCTTTTGTTCGCCATCCTTCCCACACCATAAGAACTTCCTTTCTAGCTTTTCCATCCTTTCAGCCACCTGTGTTGGGATTGGAAACAGAGATAAAAAGTGGATAGGTA